TGAAGATGAAATGTGGCTGGGTCTTTCAGCATGACAACGATCCCAAACACACCGCCCGGGCAATGAAGGAGTGGCTTCGTAAGAAGCATTTCAAGGTCCTGGAGTGGCCTAGCCAGTCTCCAGATCTCAACCCCATAGAAAATCTTTGGAGGGGAGTTGAAAGTCTGTGTTGCCCAGCGACAGACCCAAAACATCACTGCTCTAGAGGAGATCTGCATGGAGGAATGGGCCAAAATACCAGCAACAGTGTGTGAAAACCTTGTGAAGACTTACAGAAAACGTTTGACCTGTGTCATTGCCAACAAAGGGTATATAACAAAGTATTGAGAAACTTTTGTTATTGACCAAATACTTATTTTCCACCATAATTTGCAAATAAATTCATTAAAAATCCTACAATGTGATTTTCTGGATTTCTTTTTCTCATTTTGTCTGTCATAGTTGACGTGTACCTATGATGAAAATTACAGGCCTCTCATCTTTTTAAGTGGGAGAACTTGCACAATTGGTGGCTGACTAAATACTCCCCCCCCCCCCACTATATATAGTAATTATTTTGGGATGCCTGTTTTTTGCATGTTATTTTGGCATTAATGTGTCACATATCAGTTTGCAAACAATGTAAAAAAATATACACTACCATTCAAAAGTTTGGGGTCACTTAGAAATGTCCTTGTTTTCAAAAGAAAAGCTATTTTTTTTCCCATTAAAATAACATCAATTTGACCAGAAATACATTGTAGACATTATTAATGTTGTAAATGGCAATTGTAGCTGGAATATCTACATAGGCGTACAGAGGCCCATTATCAGCAACCCTCAGTCCTGTGTACCAATGGCACGTTGTGTTTGCTAATCCAAGTTTATCATTTTAAAAGGCTAATTGATCATTAGAAAACCCTTTTGCAATTATGTTAGCACAGCTGAAAACTGTTGAGCTGATTAACTGACTAGTTAGATTAGATTAGATTGACTAGTTGAGTATCTGGAGTATCAGCAATTGTGGGTTCGATTACAGGCTCAAAAAGGCCAGAAACAAAGAACTTTCATCTGAAACTCATCAGTCTATTCTTGTTCTGAGAAATGAAGGCTATTCCATGTGAGAAATTGCCAAGAAACTGAAGATCTTGTACAACGCTGTGTACTACTCCCTTCACAGAACAGCGTAAACTGGCTCTAACCAGAATAGAAAGAGGAGTGGGAGGCCCCGGTGCGCAACTGAGCAAGAGGACAAATACATTAGTGTCTAGTTAGAGAAACAGATGCCTCACAGGTCCTCAACTGGCAGCTTCATTAAATAGTACCCGCAAAACACCAGTCTCAACGTCAACAGTGAAGAGGCGACTCCGGAATGCTGACCTTCTAGGCAGAGTTGCAAAGAAAAAGCTATTTCTCAGACTGGGCAAAAAAAATAAATGATTAAGATGGGCAGCTGGAGCCGTTTTGCCTTGAAGAATGGGCAAAAATCCCAATGGCTAGATGTGCCAAGCTTATAGAGACATACCCCAAGAGACTTGCAGCTGTAATTGCTGCAAAAGGTGGATCTACAAAGTATTGACTTTGGAGGGGGGGTGAATAGTTATGCACGCTCAAGTCCTGTTTTTTTTGTCTTATTTCCTGTTTGTTTCACTATAGAAAATATTTTGCATCTTCAAAGTGGTAGGCATGTTGTGTAAATCAAATGATACAAACCCTCAAAAAACTATTTTAATTCCAGGTTGTAAGGCAACAAATAGGAAAAATGCCAAGGGTGGTGAATACTTTCGCAAGCCATTGAATTAATAAAGCCTCATACAAATTTGGTCTCTTTTTTTACAAATTTGGCCTCATACAAATTTGTTCTCTAGTTGAACCGTGATTAGTTCAGTGTTCTGTCACTCGTGGGGCCAGTACGTCACCGCCAAATCTAAGGGTAGAGCTCGAAAATTCAAGCCCCTTGGGTGCTGCCATTGAGTTACATTAGAAGTGCCCATCCAAGAAGGCTCAAGGTCATTGGCCACAGATAAGATGACATCAAATCACGTTATATCTACAGCATCTATGACTGGACTGATCATGTCAACATCATACTTTCAAAATCTTAGCTAGCAAGCTAGCAGTCATCATCATGAATCAAGTCAACAACCTACTGGCAAATCCTTTTTAATCCTTGTCAAATGAAGATAAATAATTAAGAGAAATTATAGATAAAACCACAAAATCAACAATGAGTGGTTTGGAAGGAATCAGTGGCTAACTGCAAGCATTGCAAAGCAATCACTAGCATGCTATTCAGTGGAGTGGGTGTGTAGTCCCAAGTCTGGGTTTAAGGGTCTCTTTTCCAAGCTTAAAATGATAAAAATTCAACATTGGCCATGGTGTCAATCCAGCAGGATTTCTGCCACGCTCAAAACAACTGGAAACTCAGAACTGGGAAATCTGATTTCAGTGAGTTCAAGACAACTGGGAACTCAGAAAAAACTAGCTCCGACTAGGAAAATACGTTTTGAACGGTCATCCAACTTGGAATTGCAAGTCGGGAACTCGGGCCTCTTTCTAGAGCTCCGACCTGAAGATCACTGATGTCATCATGATTCGACTTTGTTTTTTTCCTGAGTTCCCAGTTGTCTTGAAAGCATCATAAATCCAGAGAATGCCAGACTTTGATGACAAAATTTGCCCACGAAGGACTGCCGCGCCAACTTCCTGTTCAAGTGAGCACAGCACAACAAGGTGAATCCAAAAATGTCTTGTATGCTGCTGCATAAATAATGTAATATGCCAGGGAGATATGTATACTGAAGCTAAGAAAGTAATACTAAGTGTATGTTGTGTAGTAAGCCGTTAGTAGCCCATGTGCCTCACCCTAATAATTTGTTCTATTTTCACCTCTTAATTTCGCCTACTGTTCTGACTTGGTGGTGCACATGTAGCCTATAACTTGTTTTTGAGAAATGTAATCATCGAATAGTCTAAGAGCTTTCATTGTCTGCTTATATGCCCCCTTTTTTTATCCTACGGTTCTGACTTGGTGTACAGGGAGAATACTGTAAGAATGGCCCATGTTCTGAATTTTGTCGCTGTACAGTTCAAAAGTGCTGAACAAATAGTTATATTGACTACGTCCGTCCTAGCTCGCTCATTCATGTTTTAATCGAAATTACGGATTGCCTCTTATCCGCTCGTCGACCCCTTATGCCATAGTTTGTACATCACAATTGTCAGTAGAAACCACATTTGTTTAAGCAAGTCAGCCATATCAGCGATGTTTATTTTTTTTAAGGCAGTAAATCAGGCTGAATGAACTGTTTCGCTGCCAGACAAGGTTCCGCTGATAGCCAAGTGTAGCAGTGGTAAAGTGTTGGGATTGCTGTTGAGAGTGCTGATGGGACAGCTTTATGTAGGCCCTAACAGTTTGTGGGCACCGTTTGTCACCGTTATAATACAATTAAATGTATTGTTTAGTGTTGTGTAGTGGGTTGGCTGGCACGCTGTCCCAAATGTTTTTGTTTGCCCCATCAAGATTTACATGCTAAAATCGCCACTGAACTTATCTACAGATAATCGATGTCTGGAGCTCAAATTTGCAATATATCCTTTCACAGATGCGATTCGGTTCCTGACGTTCACCAAAAAGATCATTTCAAAAGGACCCGGTCAACCCATCAAGTGACGGAAAGTTCGGCATTTTACTTACTCGGATCTTTTCGACTCGTTTAGTCAGAAGACCGAATCTTTCGACTAATTTCGTTCATTTGAGTCAGTAATGCCCAGAGCACGCTGGACCCCTACCAGCGAACGATGAACACATCCCCCCCGAAAATGTCGAAATAGTCATGATTCTACAAGCCTCTCGTTCACCATAAGGGGCTTATTGGAGCTGTCATTTGTGACTGAGACTTGTAGAAGCGTGCTTTAAAAACAATATACATTTGTTGAATGCTTACAAATACGATGATTTATTGTTACATTTGAAACGGAGATCTAGTTTGGCCGCAACCGGACTAGAATGTGCACGACTCTTGGCGGAATGCATTGCTTGACTGCTGTGGGCGTGATAAGCACAATTCGTTCGCGAACTGCAGCAGCCCAAACGATTCGTTCTCGAGTTTGTTGAGCAGAGGCTGTGTATGTTTTAGTTCTACAAAGCTATGTCCATCATAAAATTCAATAATCAATTAATTGCATTCATTTTTGCACCATGCTATCAATTATCTGTTCTAAACATGTCTTTTTATTCTCTATGCTGCCTGCAGCATAATCTATTTTGCCTGCGCACATATGACAGAGTTGTTGGTCGGTTTACGTGTTAATCCTGCTGTAGAATTCATTGCAGCTAGCAGGTCAAATAACGACTAAAATGAACGACTCACTCAGTAAAACGAATCATGACTCTCGAGTCAGTAAACGAATCGTTCGCGAACTGATCTTTGTCACTACTGCGTTGTTCTCACTCCTCTCAAGTAATGGCCGCCTGTTAGAACAGCATTTCAAGCTACCTCGTCTCATCGAAAAAGCGACGCTTGTCTTCTCTAGTGACCGATAACTCACATTACGCAATAAACCAAGGTAAGTGCTTCCTAGAACGAATAATAGTGTCACGATAGAAAAAATATTTAGTCGGGCGTCAAAACTATCCTTTCAAATGTCTTCAAGGCCAGACCTAGGTGACATGCTAACCAGTTATCCAGCCAAAACGCAGCTAGCTTGAACTAGCTAGAAGCTGGGTAAACAGAAGCTCGAGATAAAGGGTGGACAAAGTTCAAATGTCTGCATACAGCCGTGCACGTCACATCACATTAGCTAGCTACATATCAAAATCTGTTTTCGGTGGCAAATGTCTGTCTTGTGCAAATAACGTTGATAGCTTAGCTAGCCAACTCCGCTAGCTTAACTTGCTGCTTAAGCTTAGCCACTAGTGTAGTGTTATGGCGTAGCAAGCTAGCTACAGACGCCTAGCTAGCGCAACTGATTCATAAACCTGCCATATCTTTTGATGGTTGTGCTTTCTTTCAATACAGATGCCAGTGGCAGTAGGACCGTATGGCCAGCAACAGCCAGCCTGCTTTGACAGAATTAAAATGGGATTCATGATGGGCTTTGCTGTTGGGATGGCAGCTGGTGCCATGTTTGGAACCTTTTCCTGTCTAAGGTTAGTTAAGTTAACCCAACGTCGATAACGATTTACCTTTTACAAGTAGGCCTACACTGAAATGCAAGACACTTTGTAAGAATGCCATAGTCTGTGCTTGGGCATCACGGATTTCTTTACTATATCAGTTTTCATATGATTTGTGTTGCAGCCATCCACAGTGCATAGTGGTTTGTTCAATAGAACTCCATTGTGTTATGTGATTTTGTTCAAATGCTGTATTTTTTCTTCCCTCAGGGTTGGCATGAGAGGCAGAGAGCTGATGGGAGGAGTTGGGAAGACGATGATGCAGAGTGGAGGCACGTTTGGTACATTTATGTCCATTGGGATGGGCATTCGCTGCTGAGACCACCTACCATAGTTACTTATAATTACATAACAGGACTTTTGTAATAACTCATTCCCATGTCACAATTTCTCCATAGTTCTGGGACAAAGTATGTCAATAAATGCTGTGATTTCAATTGCTGGTAGTAGGCCAAATGTTTGGTGGGGCTTTTGATAAATGAGATGACTAACCTTGTGATGCTGCAACATCGGTGCCATCCAAAGGATTGACGATACCAGGGTAGTCTCTCCCAAAGGATAGATGCTTGATCAAGTGAGTCATGTTGATCTGTAGGACAATTCAAATAAGCGTTCACGTGTATGGAGGACATTGCCTTGGCAAGACAAGATTTGTCAAATGTACTTACGTTGTCTAGTCCAAAACTCTGCAGATCATGAACTGAAAATAAGAGACAAAATGTTATTAATGCTGTGATCTGATAGCATCATCAGTTATGTTCTGTTTACCTAGAGTATATGAGGGCTTACTATTCTCGTAATCTACGACTCTCCCATTACAAGTTATTGTTGAGCCCTCAGAAAAGTGATGTAGATTACTGTGTGTACCACCTCCAATAAAGATCAAACCAACAATCACACGCTGGTTATTCAAAAGGACCGTTTTAAACCACAAGTTAGAAGCAGCGTTGGTTCTGTCTTCGCTAGACTTTAAGTAACAGGGTCAATTCTGACTGACAACCTCTTCATAAACAAAGTTTGATATTTGACTGGACAATTTAGAAGGGAATGATGTGAGGGATGTTGCCTGAGTGCCAGTCTGTTTGTGCTCTTATGCCAACTCACTGTCATGACAAACCTTGTCTTTGGCTTGACAAGGACAGCAATGGAGTATGCAAGAGCACAAACAGATCTGGGACCAGGGTAGGGGTGGATGTTAACTACAAAAATAACTTACTTTCCACAGCGTGCACTGCAGAATAGAAGAGAGAAGAGTACACTATATGACGCATGTTGGGCTACACAGAAAAAGCCACAGTCCTAAGAGGCTGGCCAAAGGCATTAAGCCTCTGAAGGGAGTTCATCACATCTGGTATTTCATATACGGCCAAATTCTTATCACAAAGGGAATCTTGTCTCTTGTTTCTGCCTTTAAGCAGACATAGACAGTAGTACTAGTCCAGAATATTTTTTTTGGGAGAAAATAAAATCAGCATTGAGCTGGTGAATCTTTCTGCTCTATGCTTTCTGTACATGGTGTTGATGACGAGGGACACCTTTCAATGCCACCGAGCAAGTTGAGAGAATAGTACTTTGGGCCTACAACTTCATCTGGTTATGTACCATGCTACTCTATCAGCAATTCTTGAGAAATGAGTTTAGGGTAAATCAAATTACAACAGTGCCTCAATGACAAATACGCCTGTATTGTCACACAGTAACAAAGGTTACATCAGTGAAATATTTTAGTAACTTGACTAATGTTCTCATGCCCACTTCTGCAGTTGGAGCGCAATTCAGACTTCTGTCAAGCCCAGCAACATTATTTAATTAGGAAAATCCATTGCAATAAATGTTTTGTAATCAGTTTGCCAAACAAATTAATACATTTCACATTCATATTTTTTCAACAGAGTGTCAATGCTAAATAACTTGATTAGTATGTTAGTGTTATTAGTAGGCAACATTAATGATAAAGCAAGTGAGTCAATTATCCATTCATTTACAGCCAGAACGTTGCGTTTATCTGTGGGGAAAAAAGAGCTACTTAGTTTGACACATATTTTCACCTCTGCCATAAAGATCAGATGTTTTCATGAGATAAAAAAAAATAGCTACAATTAATGACTTAGATTGCAATGGATCCCATTAGGAAAGAAGGGAAGAAGTCTAGCAAAAGACAACGAAAGGAATGATGAAAAAGAAAAACATGCACCATTTACAAAAGGATTTACGACAGTGTTTTACTGTAAAAATTAGTTATGGATGCACAAGAAATGCCTTTACTGGCCTAGTGACTTGCAAGTGAACTTACCGGTTAATATTTGTCTTTCCTTGGCTATCCTCTGAGAATGTTCTAGGGGCAAAATCTACACTACAAAAGGGTCTGTACCTACATCTGGTCTGAGACAGACTAGTGGTTATAAAACCACAAGGTGTTTCTGGTAGCAAGTAAGCAATTTTCGACTTCCAACCCAATTCAGTCCGCAACCTGTTTGGCTTTATGCAATTCAGAGGATTTACTTTCTGTCATGGGTATGGATGGAAAACAGAATTTGTATTTTCCTTAGATAAATTGATATCAGACCAGGGGAACAACTCATTTAGACCAGGGTTGTGTTTACACAAGCAGCCCAATTCAGATCAGTGTGAATGCGCAAATCTGATATGGGGCACATGTAAAACTGTGCGGGAAAAAATGGATATAGAAAGAAAATCAGATTCGGGTTTTCCACACCTATGGACTTCAGACTAGACAGTAAAATGCAGGTCTTACCATGAACATGGGACTGCTGGAAACTCTTTCCAGGGGCAAAGTGAAAATTTCCTGCCACCTAACAAAAAACCAGACAAAGTGAAGAGTTTAAAAGAAAGTCAGACAATGAACGTAATATTTGCAGATTGAAAATGTATATGAATGCATTAAAGCGCCTCACAAAATATAAAATCTCAGCTACAGTACACTTCCATCCCTATTTCTTTTAATATAACCACACAGAATTATGCTCCCAAAAGGTGATGATCCATTTAAAATCATATGTTGTTTCCAACCTGACCATTTGAAGACCAGGCAATGGTGTAAACATTGTCAGCCATGAAATAAAACATACCTTTTTGGAGTGTAAATCAGAGTGTGAGTACTGACTATTCTTTCTGATGATGTACTCAGCATCTGTTTAAGACTAGTTACCTTGTTGACCTCCAGAAAGCCGTAGATCTGGCAACCCTCGTTCTTCTGCTCCTGCATCTTCTGGCTGAAGCCCTCCCTCTTGCACTGCTCGATGGTGTCCGGGTTCTTGAAGGCCCAGCCCCGCCTGCGATAACCCTCTCGTACGTCATCGCAGGTGTTACAGCACCTACAGAAAAGCACAGGCAATATGTCAATGTCACACTCAAATGTTGGACAATAGCGTATAGCCTCCCTACTGTTATGTTATTTTACTGCTGCTCTTTAATTATTTGCTATTTTTTTTACTCATCTATATTTTATTTAACACTTTTTATTTTCTTAAAAACTGCATTGTTGGTTAAGGGCTTGTAAGTAAGCTTTTCACTGTAAGGTCTACACCTGTTGTATTCAGCACATGTGGCAAATAAGATTTGATTTGAGATAAGCTCATTCATTCATTGATGGCATATGTTCAGAAAAATAATTTAAGGCTCAATTAAGTAAGTACAAGCTCTCAAATGAAACCTCATGAATTCTTTGTAACAAATCCAATTTCACAGTCAAGGGATTTTAGTTATGAAATTGACAGGGAAACCCTTGGTCTTTGGTCATGGGAAGATGGTGCATGTTCTTTAAGGGTATTCCAGTCTTGGAAACTCACTTCAAATCCTCCATCTCTGCTCCGTAGCAGCTTTCACAGCGCTCAGGATCTAGCTTACTGGGGTCAAAAATGTCACCTTCCTCTTGTCCCAAATCTACATGAGATGACATCAAAACAATATCCATGACCCAGTGAAAAACATTAACTTTTCAATGAGGGAAAACAGCACAGCTCTCCATGAATTACAAGCAAGCTAATTAACAAGATGGTTACCGTGCTTCTCTGCCTCTGTAGTGACAGGATTGCCATCCTTGTCGAGCCTTTGCTTGAACAGGTTGTGTTCCACATCCAACTGCTGCTCTCCAGCTACGTCCATGGCATCAATGCTTAGATCTGAAGGACAAGGTGGTGTTGCAAATGTCATATACTTCAACTGTGCAATTAACATATTGCTTCATGCACATTCCTAAAGAGATTAACTTAGATTTTAAGTTGAAGTAGGCCTAACCTTGCACATTCAGTTAAAATGTCATATTTTGTTCCTTGTTCATGTGACATTTTGTTTAACTGTTTATAATATCACATAAACAAGCACAAATAGGGGTTAATTGTGCACATGTAAATTAATGTGATGATGCATGCAAGGTCTGAACACAAGTATTTGTGTAAGTTACTTACAGGCACATGGCATGTTAGGAAATATCACATCAATGTTGATTTTCAGTTTGTCTCCTCGTGATGTGTCCACAAACAATTCAGGATGGACCTGTGTTGGCAGAACAATATTAATATTTTGCAAGTCATAAAGCAGTGGTACTTAAAGTGTGGACCGGGCCCCATAGATGGAGTTTCAAAGAACTGTGGGTAAAAGTTATGACAGATGGCTTAATAAGAAAAACATAAAAATAGTGATATTCTAATCATCCTCAAATAGGCCAGTCATTGTATTTTAGCACTATACCCACCATTGACATTTTTAGCATTCCCAGTTGCCCAGGTGTCAATGGAGTGGAAATTAACTATCTGATTAATCAGGCTATAATACACAATTCATTGTTATATACAGCCTGAAACATTGAAGTGCAAAAGCATGTAAATGTTCCTTACAAGCCAGAATGTTGAATAAAATACAATTTCAATATACTCTGCCGGTTGTCGGTACGGCTTGTCCTTCAGCCGCTCTACATTTTTGACAACATATCCACATAAAAGTATTGTTTACACTACTTTTTAGCGAGCTGGTAGGTATATGGTTCTGTCAGCTTGTATTTCCGGTGTGTATTTGCAATCTACTGACGCACCCGATGTAAACACTACCGAATTACGTTCCCTCACATTCAGCTGGCAAATCAAATCAAATGTTATTTGCCAAACGCCCCCGAATACATTACATGGCAGTGGCAAACCTACCGCTCTCTAAAAAGTTGGGTAAGCAATACTTTCCTTACTCTACAGGTTGCACAGACAACTGGTAGAGTAAGTTCACATTTAATTGTATTCAACATTCTGGCTTGTAAGGAACATTTAAACGATTTTGCACTCCAATGTTTCAGGCTGTATATACACCAATTAATTGTGCATTACAGCCTGATTAATCAGACAATAATTAACTTTTCATTTGATTACCGTATTTTCCGCACTATAAGGCGCACCGGAGTATAAGCCGCAGCAGCTAAATTGAATGATGTGTACATATATAAGCCGCACTGGACTATAAGCCGCAGGTGTTTTAATGTTTAATTACCATATGAAAGCTTTTTTTGACTTTTTGCATTGAGACAGTTCTTCCCGCTGGCGTCTCCAACGTCTCACCATTGACTCATTGATGCCAAGGCTAAGTGCAGCAGCTCTATTTCCTCATTTTACAGCCAGATTGACTGCCTTTAACTTAAAAGCTGCATCATATGCATTTCTACGTTTGTTTTCCATAATGAGGGTTTGTGCATGAAAACTTCCTTTGCACAAACTGTCTCGCTCTCGTAATGTCTGTCTGTCTTGCTCTCGTTCTGTCTCTCGTTCTGTCTCTCGTACCACTTTTACTTTTGCGCGCTACCTGTCTCACTCTTTTCCGGCCTCCAGCTTTTCTCAATCGTTAACTATACATTTGATTACACGTTTTTTGAAATCGCAAAGGGCTTGGCTGAAAGGGTTTGAATACCACTGTCTGTCTTAAGAGTTTACAAACCAGAAGGGCGGCAGGTAGCTTAGTGGTTAAGAGCGTTGTGCCAGTAACCGAAAGGTCGCTGGTTCTAATCCCGAGCCGACTAGGTGAAAAATATGTCGATGTGCCCTTGAGCAAGGCACTTAACCCTAATTGCTCAGGTAAGTCGCTCTGGATAAGAGCGTCTGCTAAATGACTAAAATGTAAAATGTTAAGTGTTACATGCAAAGCTTGAACCTAAACATAGTAGCTAGCTGTTTAGTTCCCTAGCTGACTAAACTAAACGATTTACGATGGCGGTGACTAGTGTAAATGCAGGCTATTCTTTGGGTGCTGAAATGCATCGCTTTTGATAAAAACATAATTTTAAGCGACGCCGGAACTCCAGTCCACTCACACGATTCGCCGTGAGTTGAGTTTAGTCAGCTATTGTTCTCCTAGTTGCCTGTTCTCCATTAGAGAATCCTTCAGTGTGGTCCACACAGAGCTAGCTTCTTAACCACATACCTGGCTGGCATACCTACACTAGCGTACCTGACTATTTTCAGAAAAATCACATGAACCCACCTCCTTAGTGAGATAATACTGCAACTCTGAGAAGAACAGGATCAACATGATGAGACCACTTATGATGGTGACTGTAAAAGGGGGAAAGAGAAAAATGCATGTCAGAATATCACCAAATCCCATTGAACTTTAGAGAACTATTGTAGCTAGTCATCCGTTTCCCCGCAGATGTAGCCTAGTAACAGTCTGAGATCTAGAATGCTAGCCCAAACACAGTGCTCATACTAGCCCAATAATGGACTAAAGGAGGCTAATGTTACAACCTAAGCTCAGGGGTAGACATAACATAGTAACATAGTACATGTTGCATGGTATGTATTCATTTGTGGATGTCCATCATCCATTTTGTTACAAATTGCAATTCGTACGATATGATATGAATTCCAATTTGTTGTGGCTAACGTTAGCTAGGTTGCTAAACCTAACATTATATAGGTGGCTAACGTTAGCTAGGCTATGGGTTAAGGGTTACGGTTAGGGTTAGTTTAAAGGATTAAGGTTAGGGGAAGGGTTAGCTAACATGCTAAGTAGTTGCAAAGTAGCTAAAAAGTTGCAAGTAGTTGCAAAGTTGCTATTTAGCTAAAAATGTCCATGAGATTCGAACATGCAACCTTTAGGTTGCTAGACGTTCGCATTATACGCCCACCAATCCAGTCCGACAAACAGTTTTGTTTTTGTCTTAAGTAACCTGCTGTCTTATTTAACCATACCAAACGTACCATATCATAGTAATTTGAGGGTCTCAGATTTACATTTACTAAGTTACGTCTAGTCTATGAGACCAGGCTAAACGTTACTCTTTATAGTAAAAGATTATGGATATACTGACAAGATACAGGTCTCTCCACCCTAACAATGGGAAATGTAAGACAGCGGGCTGTCTAGCTCCTGCCTATCCTTTCTTTGGATTGGTGGATACATCTCATTATTGTAATACTTTTTTAAATATTCGATGAGGGTTCTTGACGTCAACCGCCTGTATTCAATGGAGACAGATGCTATGCTACTAGCCTCCTGCCATGAATATGCATAGCCATCTCGAGACAACTCCGATATAAAGTGTTTTTTTCTCAAAGTTGCCTGCATGTCAATGTCCTACTTATATCAGTATACTCATAACAACTTAAGCATTACAACACTTCTATTTGATCAAATAAACCTCACATAGCAAATAAGCTATTAATTTTTTTGTTGACCAAATTCGACATACAAAAACTCCTTACTTGGTGGGCGAAACAACGACAAAACGCAACCTGCTGGAGGGAGACAGATTTTCCGCCCCACAGTGGAGGTGTCATAATACCCATAAAACTTAGCGGTCAAACAGGAAAATGGTTCCAATCCTTTTTTCCACCATTAATTTTTCCCCATAGGGGATTTTAGAAACACTTAAAATAAGGGCTGTGTTTCGTGTAGGCTTACCCTGGCGTGATGTTTTGATAACCATGTAAAGCTCTCTCTGACAAGGTGACTTATCAATATATTCGGTTCTATTTTCGCTCAGATTGGAAAATGCTAATTAGCATCAAAACAAATCCCTGCAAGCTCCTGCACGTCATCTCTAGCTGGCACCTTCACTAACAGGTCAATATAAAGAAATTAAGCCAATTAATGAATTACTACATTTAGCTAACATTAGATAGTTAATCCAGAGATTCTTACCTTTGCCTCAATTTAGCAGTCTCGTCCAGATCATCATGTCATTTGTAGTTCTTTATGATAGCCACATTAGTAGCTAATTACTTGGTGGGCGAAACAACGACAAAACGCAACCTGCTGGAGCTCAGCTGGTAGAGCACGGCGCTTGTAACGCCAAGGTAGTGGGTTCGATCCCCGGGACCACCCATACACAAAAATGTATGCACGCATGACTGTAAGTCGCTTTGGATAAAAGCGTCTGCTAAATGGCATATTATTATTTATTATTATAATTAGTGTTTCATTTGTTGGGGGTAAATACAGGCAAATATATTGATAAGTCACCTTGTCTGAGAGAGATTTACACGGTTATCAAAATGTCACACCAGGATAAGCCTACACAAAACACAGCCCTTATTTTAAGTGTTTCTAAAATCCCCTATGGTAAAAATGAATGGTGGAAAAACGATTGGAACCATTTCCCCGTTTGACCGCCAGGTTTTATGGGTATTATGACTCATACTGTAGTACTCTATAGTCCAAGGACCTTACATGTTCAGTTTAGAGGCGAATTGGCTCTGGCAGACAAAACAGCCAATACTCCCATCTAAACATGAATCGATTCTCAATTACGGTACGGTTCTAGAAACCTATAAAGCCCTCACATCAAAATAATTTCACAAAAGCTAAATATACACTTACTGTACACTGTTTTAACAGTTGCAGCTGACAGTATTTTTCAGTGACAACACGTTTGTGGCGTCTTTTTCCGTTAAAACATAACGTTAGGTGTTCGGAGACGCAGCTAGCCAATTTGTACGCCTCTGTCTTCCGTAAATAAACGCTGTAATATGGAAATATGTCTGTGTGGGAACCCTAACCCTATAAAAGGTGTAGTAATTTAAGCTTATTTCTTGGTGATATGAAAGATACGTTCCTTTCGTTTCCAAAACCGTACCGCAAGCGATGCGTTTTAACGTTCAGAACGAGCGTTGGGGCTCTTAACAAAAGTTCGCCGGCCAGAAGATAATATCGTCAATAGGCGATAAAGGTAGTTAGCGTCTATGAATGGGTTATGCTACTGCTAGCAACTGGGAATAGTATTAATGTGTTATACTTGTAACTAGAGCACTGCCAAAAAAACACTCACCCGTAGCTCCGCCGCATGTTTTAATTCGGAAATCCTCAAGAGTTTTCGGATATGCATCAAATTGTTTCAGTTTATTTAGTGTGTCCATCTTCTTTCATACCATCGGCTGAAAGAATTCCTGACACACATCAGTCCTCGACATTCACTTCCGGTACACAAGGCGTGCATGCGTAACGAACCAATCAGCGTCGACAGCATAAGGGTCAGTATATGAATTGACTACAATTTGAGAGTTTTGTATAAACTAGCAGAATTAAAGGCGCTACATGGTCAATCCGACATCTGCATTGGCCGTGCAGCATTTACGGCAGAAGGCAGAGCATTCATACTTCTTGCTCTTTGCAGAGTTGTTGTGAAGGAAGTTGTCTAGGAAGTGAGTTTGTGTTTATAAACAGGGCCAGTCCTTGCCGTTCCTACCGCCATTGGCGAGACTACTAGAATAGTCCCAGTAAGCAACATTACGTTGAAAAGACGTCTAAAATACGAATTTTCCAGACGTTGAAGTTAGGTTCAATTTAGGTTCTGAATGAAAGGTGAGAAGGTATATTCCATATGTTTAAAATACATATTTTCCAGGACATTGAAAAGGATTCTGTTTCAGACGTTGAAAAATATGTATTTTCCTTACGTTGAAATCAGGTTCATTTTCGGTTTTGAATGAAAGTTGAAAATAAGTAATTTATAGACATCTATGTTTGGGCCAAACCAAGGCTGGTCCAGACCGGACAAAATCTGAACCATACCAAAGCTGGTCCAGACCATACAAAATCTGAATCTTTGTTCAGATTTGGTCCGGACCGGACCAAAAATCTATGTCATTGGACATTGAAATCAAGGCCTGTCTGGACCGCACCAAATAGTCTATGATTGGTTCAGATTTGCTCTGGACCGGACAAAAAACCATTGTCCGTGGATGTGGAAATCAAGGCCGGTCCGGAACTGCACCAAAAAAAGACACGTCAAAAGGAGTCGGCGTAGGTCCATGCTTACTGAGGTGTAGCCTACAGTGTTACTTGAAATTGTATTTTCCGAATGCCCATCTATGTCGTAAGCCGGGCAGGACCAAAAAAAGACGTTGGCTCGTGCTTACTGGGGTGTAGCCTACCATGTTGGCCTGCAATGGGATTTTATGAATGCCCATCCATGTCTTAGGCCCACCGTTTGTAAAACAGGCCATTGTATTGGCTTTATTAATCCTGATTCCTGTGACTAATCCATTTGGCCATTTAAACTCTGAATATCAGCTACCCAACTTTATCAGGAGTTGGAATTTTGCATTTGCTCTGGAGTGGGGCAGCGGTCTAAGGCACTGCATCTCAGTGCTAGAGGCGTCACTACAGCCCCTGGTTCGATTCCAGGCTGTATCACAATCTGACTGTGATTGGGAGTCCCACAGGGCTGCGCATAATTGGCCCAGCATCGTCCAGGTTTGGCCGGGGTAGACCGTCGTTGTAAATAAGAATTTGTTCTTGGGGTAGGCCGTCATTGTAAATAACAATTTGTTCTTAACTGACTTGCCTAGTTAAATAAAAAAATACCTCTGCATTTCCCGCTGTGTAAACACATTGCAAATAGGCTCGCAATTTATTTTATTTTATTTATTTAACTACATTTTGTACAGATACAAACTTGAATCCACCGATCATGACAATAGGGTGAAACTCCTGAACAACAGTTGTGATTGTCCATTTCATACTGTCCATTTTACTTCGACCTGTCCTGTTTTCAGGATATGTTGTTTGTTAACAAGACAGCACATTTTTTATTTGATTGAGTGCCATTTAGGTTAGGTTATTTGATCTGAGAAACCTGCATGATGTAAAAAGTGTAGGTCCTCATTACATTGTCATACATTTTATATCCAGCCTGTAGGCTACAGAAAAGGCCACACTTTCTACCATATGCTATATCTGCTACATGATTTATGTTAGATCTTTTTTTGGGACATAACGTTGGTGGAGCGCTGCAGAGATGCATCTCTCCAACAGCACCCCGGAGAGGTGCACTGGGAATGGACAAGCAGAATATTTTGCGCCTTTGACAAAGTGGGCATTGCTTACCAAAGGGCAGCATCAGGCTTACCTAAAAAGTACATACGCTACTGGTTGAGAGAAATTGTCATTGTTTTTGGTGGGTTTTATTTGTTGTTGTTGAAGGTGCGTCTTGGTCAGTTTAGCTCAGAAAATGCTGCCCTCATCAATCTTCCGCCTAATCCTGCCTAATGAGCAGGCCGACCGTGTTTATACAGGACCTCCTGCCCCCACCCACCATCAACCAATCATGTCAATGCGGAGCTATAGGGAGTCCTCCACATTGTTACAACATTTGAGAGGCGCACTGCAATGCTGTATGGAGCTTGATTTGGCCTCTACATGCCTCCAAAGCTCCGCAATTGAGTGACATCCTCCAAGCATAAATTGGCTTTTAGAAATAGTTTTCAGTAGTAACCAGACGCTGCGTTCAAGACAACTGGGAACTGGGAACTCTCAGACTTCAGTGTATTCAATACATCTGGGAATTCTGACAACTAATTCCAACTTGGAAACTCGGGCAACATCCTAGAGCTCAGACTCACTGACATCATGATTTGACCTCGTTTCTTTCGAGTTCCCAGTTGTCTTCTATTGCTGCATTTAACCCTCCCGTTGTCCTAGGTTCAAAATGACCCGCCACTGTGTTGAACCAACTTTATAAAATGTTTATATTTTGGGGATCATTTGTGAGGAGGCAGTGAGACTTTAAAGAAAGTATCACTGCCTCCTTCTCACAAATGATCCAAAAAATATAAAAATTAAATAAAGTTGGTTCAACACAGTGGCGGGTCATTTTGACCCTAGGACAACGGGAGGGTTAAAATAATTGGGAAATCTGATGTCAAATCATGACATGATCTTCAGGTCGTAAAGTCGGAGCTCTAGAAAGAGGCCAGTTTCAGAGTTGGATGACCGTTCAAATCGATTTTTCCCCAGTCGGAGCTTGTTTCCCCTCCCCCCCCCCCCCCAGAGTTCCCAGTTGTTTTGAACGCACTGAAGTCTGAGATTTCCGAGGTTCCAGTTTTGAACGTTGCATAAAAACACCACTTTGATACAGCTACAGAAGTGACTTTTCGTAGCAGGTTATGAGAGAATTTGCTAACCATAAACCTTTTCCTAACCTTAACCTAATTCTCCTAACCTGCTAGACCTACGCTTACTCTCCTAACCTGCTACAAAATAGTAACTTCCGGTCGTAGCTGTATCGAGGGCCAGCATGTAGGTTAGGGATTCTGTTGAAATCGGGATAAGCTCTACTTTTTCCCCACAAATATTTGTCTTAATATTAACATTTGAAATATATATTTTGATAGGCTGATACTTTGGTCTTTCACACCATGTAAAGGAACCTATTTCTTAATTATTTCATAAAATGCAACTGGATTTATTTAAACTCCATCAGATACCATTAAAGGCATTTCATTTGTACATTTATTGTCCAACAACTCCAAACTTCTTGTTTTATTTGATAGTGCTATATAATGCTTCAGGGCTAATTGTTAGCATTTTGACATATTTTTCTAGATTCAGAATGTAAAACATTTATAAAGGAAACATTATCCCTTAGATCTAGCACAGCAAATATTTCAATAGTTTAAGCATACGTTGCAGAACATTGACAAAGAAAACATTTTAAAGGGGGTTAGCCATAAGTGACTGAGTTGACAAGCCACTGACTGAGTTAAATACTCAAAATAAATGTTTGCCTCTAAAAATAAGTTCAATACAAACATTTGTAAACTATAAAATTGTTCATTTGAAAATCCCCAATAAAAATAACCATTCTGTCAGATCTTGACAGAGTTGATGTTTCACGGCGTTGACAACATTTATTTTTCTCCATTCAAGGGGTATACAAAGTAGCAATTTTGTTTTTTCTAAGTTGCTTCGACTCTAAAAACCAAATTAAAATAAACATTTGAACCAAAATTCATACCCTATCTCAGGCAGATGGAGTTGACAGTTTATGGTTGTGACAATGGTGATTTCAAAATTGTTTGTTTAAAAAGTTGAGCGCTTTTACTCAGAGGGCTATTGCAAGAAACTACATAAGATCCTTTTTGCAGTTAATATTAATTGCCAGTTATTTGAATTAAACACTTTTGGAGAGTTTGAAATCAGGATCCTTTGCTCGGGACAAGGGCAATACCCGACATGGAAATTAATACTTTTTTAAAATGTTTAGACATTTCCATAAGCAAATATTTCCCCTTTCACCTAAATGTAATTTTTTATCTAAAATAATGCAACAATATATTTTAACTATAAAAATAAAGTTTCCTTGCTGGACAAGGATTGTCCCGACTTTCAAGAATCCCTGTAAGTTAGAGCATAAATTAAATGTGTGGAAAGTGTATGAACCATATCAAGACAAGAAATGTGTGGCGTAGGTGCATTGCAGAACATGGTCACAGGTAGCATTGGGTTATAACATGGTTTATTCGGTACACCAGTGTTTATTAAATATTTACACAACAAAGTGTAGAGAACCCATGACGTGACAGATTCACAACAGCACAAGGTTGCACGACTCTGTTGAGATTCCCCTCAAAGAACAGGTTAACTATTAGACCACAACCTGGACACGTTTCTTTCGATAATTTATTTTGTACAGTAAAACAGTATAGAGGTTGTGTTTACATCCTTCTCCGTTGGCAGAGAATAACCCATTGAGAGGACACCCAGCAAGTGAATCAGGGCAACCATATCATAAATGCATGTGTTTTTTTTAAAAAGATGGACAATCGCAAATCAGAGGGGTCAGAATTTGAGCCGAGAAGCAACATGGGCAGTCAGAATGCAGCTATCTAGGTCTTTACTTTGGGGGCCTGTAGGCGATCTTCCTGCTCTTCAGCACAGACCACCTGTGCCTCTTCATGTAATAGACCAGGGGGACCAAGATGGCGGAGCCCATGAGCAGCTGGGGGAAGAAATTGTTTGAGTGAGATGGGGTCAATGTCAACTGTGATGAGAGTGACGTAGAAAAGGGAGCAATTTGGAAACAAGGGCCAAAAAGACGACAAATCCAAACAGGGGATTTGACTTTGTGACTCCTTTCTTTCAAATATTTTATTTTGTATGTTTTAATACATGACAAGTAGTGGCTCAATACATATGAAATTGTAATGAATGTATCTAATAGAATTTAAGAAGACTTGACAGGTCCAAGCAATGCTCCATGTAGACCTACCAATTTTCAAGACTACAAAGTAATTGTGTCAAACAATGGAAAGGATTGTCCTAAATCAGGGATGTATTCACTAGAAAACAACAAAATAAAAAAGAACAAAACAGAGCCTCCAAAAAAATAAAAAAAATAATTACTTGTTTTCATTGTAAAACATTTTCTGTTGCAAAACGGTTTGCACTATTGAATCCATTTCTGATGACAACTATTTATATTACGGCAGTGGCTGGCGCCTCGCTGCCAGCTTACCTTCAGGCCCATGCGTTTGCGCTGGTCGTGCTCAGGCTCGGCCGCCCACCGGAGGAAGGTGCACACGTCCTTGGCCACCTGGCTCATGGTGGCTGGGGTTCCTATCATCACATGAAAATGGAAGGTTTTACTTGCAATGACTGACATGTGGTTGTCTTCTCTACTTTAGTTGAATGCACAGACTGTTAGTTGCTCTGGATAAGAGTGTCTGCTTAATGACCAAAATGCAAGATGTAGACTACACTGAACAAAAATATAAACGCAACATATGTTTCATGAGCCGAAATAAAAGATCACAGAAATGTTCCATACGCACAAAAAGCTTATTTCTCTCAAATGTTGTGCACAAATTTGTTTACATCCCAGTTAGAGAGCATTTCTCCTTTGCCAAGATGATCCATCCACCTGACAGGTGTGGCATATGATGAAGCTGATTAAACAGCAAGATCATTACACAGGTGCACCTTGTGCTGGGGACAATAAAAGGCCACTAAAATGTGCAGTTGTCACTACACAATGCCACAGATATCTCAAGTTTTGAGGGAGCGTGCAATTGGCATGCTGACTGCTGGAATGTCCACCAGAGCTGTTGCCAGAGAATGTAATGTTAATTTCTCTACCATATGCCGCCTCCAACGTCGTTTTAGAGAATTTGGCAGTACGTCCAACTGGCCTCACAACCGCAGACCACGTGTATGGCGTCGTGTGGGCAAGCGGTTTGCTGATGTAAACTTTGTGAACAGAGTGGCCCATGGTGGCGGTGGGGTTATGGTATGGGCAGGGATAAGCTACGGGCAATGAACACAATTGCATTTTATCGATGGCAATTTGAATGCACAGAGATACCGTGACGAGATCCTGAGGCCCATTGTTGTGCCATTCATCCGCCGCAATCACCTCATGTTTCTGCATGATAATTCACGGCCCCATCTCACAAGGACCTGTACACAATTCCTGGAAGCTGAAAATGTCCCAGTTCTTCTATGGCCTGCATACTCACCAGACATGTCACCCATTGAGCACGTTTGGGATGCTCTGGATCTGCGTGTACGACAGCGTGTTCCAGTTCCCGCCAATATCCAGCAACTTCACACAGCCATTGAAGAGGAGTGGGACAACATTCCACAGGCCACAATCAACAGCCTGATCAACTCCATGTGAAGGAGATGTGTCGTGCTGCATGAGGCAAACGGTGGTCACACCAGATACTGATAGATGCATATCTGTATTCCCAGTCATGTGAAATCCGTAGATCAGGGCCTAATGAATTTATTTCAATTGACTGATTTCCTTATATGAACTGTAACTCAGTAAAAATCTTTGAATTGTTGCATGTTGCGTTTATATTTTTGTTCAGTATATATCCAATATCGAATCATTAGTCTATTACTCTATATAGACACCAGAACCTAGACATTCAGTCTGGCATGTCAAGGGTAAAAATGCTAGCACAATGCAATTTTAAAAAAAACATCTTATTATTTCAAGTTACTGATCCCTAGCAGAGGGAATCCTACTGACCGTCCTCAAATTCCAGGACCTCATTGTAGATGGGGGGAGCCATGCCGATGGCCTGGCCAGGGAAGTAAGGGTTGTAGTAGAGGCCCTCCCTCACCTCCACTCCAGCAGGGGGCTCACAGTAGCCCGTCAGCAGGGAGAACACGTAGTCTTCACCTCCATGTCTGGAACAATGGAGGAAAACGACTTAGGACATAGCACTTGCAAAGCAAGCTAAGATATGATATCATGGTATGAGTAATAGGAGTGGAGTGTCTTGATGTGGTTTTACAAAAGTATTTTCCTGCTGTATAGACACTTAAAAAACATTTTTGGGGAAGAAAAGGTTACAATATATTCTACCTTGAATCTAACGTTTAGTTTACTGTCGATATTCCCAATCACCAGATACTCTGGAGCACGGGTCTCCAACAGGTCGATCGCAAGTTACCGGTAGCTCGCAGCCCACCTATGAATAGCTCGCCAAACAATTCTGAAAGTACATGCAATTTTCACATGTTCCACCACAAACTGTCATAAACAAATCTCACAAGTATCAGACACGGCAAGCTCCCATCTAATCAATGTACCATTGACATTATCCCACCGCTGGTTAGCCACTATTGGCTTTAAAAACCAAACCTAACAATATCTGCCAATTAATTTCCAGCAATATTGCCTGTCTGTCTGTGTGGTACGCACGTTTGTCTATCACTTAGTGTGTAGCCAGTTGAATTGATAAGTCTTGTGGGTTGACAAATACTTTCCCCAAAAACCTTCTCAATTAAAAGTTAACTGCAACATAGGTTTACCAGGCAGAAGTATATCATTAGTAAGCACATCATATGTTTCGATGATTTGTTATTTATAAACTTTGCCATGAAATGAGCAGCAGCAGTACGGAACCATCGCTAGACTAGCACATTCCTCACGCGCTAGGACGCGCAATTAAAAAAGGGCCAGATGCGCAATTAAAGGGGAATTACACTAAAATTAAACGTTTTCTCCCACACCAAAAAAAAAAAGTATTCTGATGTGATTTAAGCATTGACATGGACTCAGAACATCAAATGTTGTTTCTCTATGAACAATTGTAATGTTGAGTGAAAAACTCAGAACACAATTTGGGGATTAAAAAAAAATCTGATTGTATTATTTTACCAGGTATATTGACAGAAAACAGTGTACAAGAGAAAGTAGTGCACTAAGTGTTAAGTATCCCTATATTTCTGTTATTACGGTGCCATCACTGTGGGTGGGACAGCACCTTTCAGCACTACATGCAGCGAGAAAAGCGTTCACTGAAGCAGAGTGTTCAGAGAGAATTCGCAGGGCTCTGTATAAACAGCGTCGACCCACAGATGAGAAGTACGAGCCTGGAAACAAAGTGTCCTACAAACGAGTTGACTGTCAAGAGTGGAAAGGACCGGGAGTAGTCATTGGCCAAGATGGTGTGGTGATATTCGTGAGGCACAGAGGCACCATTGTCAGGGTGTATCACTCAAGATTGCAGAAAGTAAATGATCAAAAAGATGGAAGGGCTGTTGCTGAGAATCAGCCTCCTACTGAAAATGACAAAAAGGACACATTAACAGACAAACCTACCAGATGTCGCATCCAATTATATGGACACAAACTGACACAGGAAATGGAGCAGAGACCAACCATGACACAGGTAATACTGTTGAGGGTTCAAATGACGAAAACGTTCAACAACAGCCACATGTGTTAAGGCAACATGGTTGTTCCAATCTGAAAACTGGACAAACTGTTAAATACATGGACAGAGAATGTGGTATTTCACACACAGCAACAGTCATTGGACGAGCAGGAAAAGCCAAAGAAACACCAGAACTGGTACAACTTGCAGTACTCTGAACCAGCTACACTTTCTGGTACAACAGGTTCAGCTGACCTGTCACTTGTAGATAATCTCAGAATTGAACCAATAGAAAAATCGAGAAAAACAGAATGACATTCAAAATGATGATGTACTTGAAACAAAGGACGTATCATTTGACTCAGCTAAACTAGATGAACTCAGTAATTGGAGGAAAAATTGAGTGTTTGAGGAAGTCAAAGACATTGGCCAAAAACGTGTCTCAACAAGGTGGGTGTGTACCCTTAAAGAATCCTTAACTGGAATAGTGCCAAAAGCACATCTAGGTTTTGAGGAGCTGGATGCTAAAAACCTCCCAAAAGACTCACCGACATGCGCCTCAGAGTCAATCAGATTGCTGCTGACAGTGATCTGCCATAAGAAATGACATAGACATCAAATCTGCATTTTTGCAGGGAACAGAGCTGTCAAGGGACATTCACATCCGACCTCCGCCTCAAGCTAAGAGCGAAGGAACACTGTGGAAACTAAAAAAGTCTGTATGGCCTGGCAGATGCATCACTCTACTGGTACAACAAAGTCAAGGCAACAATGCTGAGTACAGGTGGAAAAATGTCACAAGTGGATCCTGCATTCTTCTATTGGCTTGATCAAGACTGCAATGTGACTGGAGTACATGCCTGTCATGTTGATGACTTCATCTGGGGTGGCTCACAGACCTTTGCTACAACTGGTCGCCCACAAAGGAACAGCTTGCTGACTGTCTGACTAAAAAGGAAGCATCCAGTCTTGGGCTCCTCAGTAATGGAAAGTGGCAGCTAAAAACTTTTGTCACACAACCCATTTGTAAATGGGGAACTTAAATAATACTTGGGACATTTTATTATTTTGTTGATGTTTTATTTGTCTTTACAGAAAAGTGGGAGATAGTTAAGTTCATGTTTTAAGTATCCCTATATTTCTGTTATTACGGTGCCATCACTCTGTTATTATTTATTAGTATGCCTGCGCAGTAGTCTCACTGGAGACGGACCTGGCCTGAGTGTGATGGCGACTATGTACTGTGGTAATACGGTGAAGTAAACGTTGTTCAACTGGAACCTAGTCATTGTGTCAATTAAAGTTAACACTAAGGACCCAGGGAAGAGTTGCAGAGGAGAGGAGAAGAATGCACCTATTAGAAAGCTACCAAAACAATGAGTAGCTCGCGACAGGTTACATTTTTTAAAAGTAGCTCTCATGCTAGAAAAGGTTGGAGAACCCTGCACTGGAGTGAACAACACAGTACCTGGCATTGACAATGTAGCTGAGATCTGGGGGCAAGGCTCCCCCATTGGCCACACGGGCAGCCTCTGGGTTGGGGTATGGCTTGGGGAAGTAGTCGGAGAGCTTTCCTGGACGGGTGAACATCTCTCCTGACTCGTCAGGGCCATCCACCACCTCAATCTGAGCAGAGAACCGACAGTGGTCAGTGACATGGAGAAGGACCAAGATGTTCCTTGAAACTGATAGGTCAGCTTTTCATTTCCACTCATAATGGTTCAAGTTAGGATTGGGGAAAGGGAAAGCTGATCCTGGAACTGTGCCTAAGGACACGTTCTAGCCAGTGACTGACACAGTCATCTATAAAGGCCATGACCTTGTTTAATGTAATGGCCAAGGACAAAGCCTTACCTCCTCAGCCAAAACCTTCACTTCGGCCTCTGTGTGCGACACTCCGACCAAGTTACGGAAGGCCAGGTACTCCATGCTGTGACACGCTGAACACACTTGCTTGTACACCTGATATCCACGGCGAATGCTGTAATATAAAGAAAAACAGACATTAATATCAATTTCATCCAGTCCTCCTTTTCAGGTAAATATGTTCTAGCATGTAATAAGATTCCTTTAGAAAACTAAATTTTCCCTAAAATTCGAAATGTCTCATATCAAATGTCCTATTGCTAGCACTGGAAAAAGCCTTGGTGATAACAGATGGTAGAAAGTAATTGTATGGCCTTTTTGGTTAGGAGTTAGCTAGTACCTGGCGTGGTCGAGGGCTGACAGCATGCCGCTGTGGGTCCAGGGGTAGTTGGGGGGATGAAGCTCCAGGTCTGAGGCCTTAACCGACTGCTGCAGCATCAGAGCCAGTCCGGCCCCGCCGGTCGTCAACACACCCAATGTTGTCAGGGCCACCTTCTTCGACCTGGGTAGACTGGCAAACGACATGTTGGCCTGTTGAGGAAGAGAGTTGACATAGGATGATGAATGTAGCTAGCTACTGACATTTGTCATCCATTTGCCCATTTGAGGTATTCTTCGCCATCATTTTTGCCTTAACCAAAATAACCTTAATATTGTGGTCAATCTTTGTTGGTTATGATGATATCACTGAATATGCATCCCATGTCAAGGCAAAGGCATACAACTAAGCACTTATGAAACTGCCCTTCTATTCTGGGTTTCACAACAGATACCAAAGGAGTGGGACTTGTCATGACTTGCCCTCATGGGTTGAGGATCAAACATTTCTGCTAGGCAAAGGTTTGAACACCCCCTTTCCCGGGGGCCAGTTTTATGACTTAACAGCCGGCCATAAATAGTTTGCAGAAAAGTACTCCTTTTGGTCTCTAGTATGAGACGAAAGAATTTCCCTGTGAGACAAAGGATGTCTTCCCACCAAGACTCCAACATCCAAAAGTGGATAATGAAACAATATTCCTTCTTAAAAGAATGTGGGAAATGGTCAGTGGTGATCTAAAGAATATTCATGTCATTGTTTATTATTTTGTGATGTCATTAAGGATGGTATCAAGTAATAACTAACTCGGAAAGTGTACATATTCGATCAAGTTTACATCTAAATGTTGTATAAAATATATGATTAAGTATGAGAGTATTTTGGTGAAGATAGGAATGTGATTTTAGTCTTCTAATGAGATATTCGTTTTTCATATAAACTATGCACAGTGACTAGCCACGCCCCGAGTGACATCAGAGATTGTGTAAACATGATGGAACGCCCCTTTTACCCAGAGTGCATAAAAAGCCTTGAAAAACAAATAAACCTTTAGACCAGCAGACGTGAAGCGTGAGCTAAACGTTGCAAATGGTTTAAACTCTACAGACCAAGAAGCGTGAAGCATGAGCTTAAACGTTACAAAATGGTTTAAAACTACAACTCCATTACCAGAGGAAGACCAGCAGATGTGAAGCGTGAGCCAAACGTTGCAAATGGTTGAATTTCTATAAGACCAGAAAACGTGAGATGTTAGTCCACACGTTTGAAATGGAGACTCTGAAACTCTCAACCTCTACACGAGGTGAAGAAGACAATACACCTTATCATTTCAGTCTGCAGCTGGCATGTATAGTCGTCTAGAGAACTTTCACTAAAGACACAAAGTGGGAAGGACAATCCCTCTCAGACAACCACTGGTACATCTGAAGTATCCATTCTAACCAGCACTACGACCAGAAACTCTACCAAGGACATTGGGATCTCTGGTGGGCAAACCAGAGTCCTACATCATCAACTCAACTATCGAGGACAGCTACACGTAAATACATGTTGCATTCCTAATCCGAATGAGCGTTATTAGGGTGCATAAGTATTATGATTACTGTGAGAATAGTCTCCAAAGTAACCACGATAGTTTGAATCTCTGTCTCTCCCTTCCACTCTGACCCTCCTTCTACCCAAGCAGTCATGCGATTGTTAGTCCAGTCCACTAGGGACCTGTTTTCATTGTATTACGTTAGTAATCAATAACCTGTGTGTTTGTATTGTGTTATTATTTAGTTAGTTAACAAGCTAGCTAACTAGTCGTTTCCGAATCTGGGCACATTTTAGTCAGGTAACGTTAGTCTAGCCAAATACCTTTTCTCTAAACACCTGGTCAAGCTAGCTAGCTAACTAATGTTCGCTTTTGGGTGTTAGCTAGCTATTTTATTCCTTGTGTTAGTTGATAAAGTTGTTCTTACCTAGCTAATTACTGTAGACTTAAGTTATTGACGTAACCTACTAGCTAGATCAATTAAGTTTTTTATCATTGTAATATTAAATGGTGGTCACAAACTCTCACTTAACTAATGTTGTTTATAGGTTTAAAGCATGTACAGTACACCATCTTAAGTGTGGAGAACTGACGGCAAACACACTGAAGAGAAAACATGCCCCTAAGACTCCCTCCACCATCAAGCAAAGCACATTACTGAAGACAGCGTCTCAAAAATCCATCGACAAGCCGTGGTAAAGTATGTGGTCCAAGGGCTCCAACCATTCGCTGTTGTAGAACAAGAACCGTTCAGAGAATTTGTCCAGGATCTGCAGCCTAACTCAAAGATCTTATCAAGGCCCACACTGCACTCCAGGATTGATGAAGCCTCCAAGGAAATGAAGAAGGTGACTGAGGCCATGAGAGGAGTTGACCACACTGCCACCACCACCGACTGCTGGTCTGCAAGAAGACTGAGCTTCATTGGTGTTACAGCCCACTGGATAGACCCTGACAGTCTCAACAGATGCTCTGCAGCCCTGGCCTGTAAACGGTTGAGAGGATCGCACACCTTTGATGTGTTGGCAGGCGCCCTAAAATGACATCCATTCTGAGTTTGAAATCCGGGGTAAGATTGTGAGAACAACAGACAACGGCTCTAACTTCTTGAAAGCTTTCCAAGTTTTTGGAGAAGATGAAAACAACGAGGCAGTGGGTGGTGAAGCAGCTCATCCAGGACAGGAAGATGGTGAAGAGGAACAAGAGGAGAGTGAAAAAGTGGAGTTTGTTGATGTGGCAACGATCCTGAATGAAGATGATGATTTTGAGTACCAGCTGCAGAAGCACCAGCGCTGTGCTTGCCACCTACTCAACTTAGTATCTACAGTCGACGCCCTGAAAGCAACATCCAGTGAGGCTTACAGAAAAGTGTCCTGTTCAACATTTGGCAAGTGCCAAACACTTTGGAACAAATGCGGAAGATCCACACTTGCAGCCGAAACAGTTGAAGATGCTTATGACCTCCAGCTGCTGCGCCCGAATGCTACAAGGTGGAACTCCTGGTTCATGGCTGTAGAAAGACTACTGAGTATCGTCAAAGACAAAGGAGATGCGGCCGTCAAGAGTTCTCTGCACAGACTTCGAGGTTCCAATGTAAGTAAGGATTATGTATTATTTTGTCTTGAATGTTGTCTAAATCTGTTGCAGTGTTTACTGACCCTTTGCTTGGGGACTACCTGTTTCACATGTTGTAGCCATACACTATCATAGATCCATTTAGTCAACTACTCATCCAGCCATTGATTACTGTAGTTAAAAATCAGGTGAAATGGTTAGTGGTCCCCTTTGTATAGGGTGAGGAAACAGTATTTATATATATATATATATATATATATATATATATAATTATTTTTTTCATAGGTTCATTCCAGCTGAACTCGCCTTCCTCACAGAGTATGCTGCCACCATGAGCCCAGTCGCAAAGGCCATCAACATCCTGCAGGCTGAAACCAATGCCCAGATGGGGTGGCTACTTCCAACTATCAACCTGCTGATCACGAAACTTGACCAAATCATGTTGTCCCTGAAGTACTGTAAGCCTCTGGTGGATGCGCTACAACTGGGACTGAAGAAGCGCTTCAGCCACGTTTCACGACCCTGAGCTGATCGCAGCTGCAATCCTTCTCCTCAAATTCAAAAGAATATGGACAAAGGATGACGCCACCATCAGAATGGCTAAGACAACGTTGTTGATTAAAAGTATTTTATTATTCATAAACTGTGTTTGGTGAACATTTTGCCACTTCATAGATTTGAGAACCACCCATTTAAACTACAATCCTGACTTTGTGGTTCAATCCAATGGGTAGCCTACCTAGCCCTGTTGCTTGGTTTATATGGATGGGGGATGGGGATGGATTAATGTAGGCTCATAACGGCATGATTTCTATTGTCATCTTCCTTGTATTTCAGGAATGGACTACATCAAGGACCACCTGGAAGAACTGTTGCTGCAGCTAGGTGATCGCACCAGTTCATCAGATGAGGAGGACTTCTTCTCTGCCATGAAGACGTCTCAAGCACAAGAACGCTCCAAACAGCTGGACGGATACCTGGCCTGTTCAGCTGATCATATGGAGTTGCTCAAGTCCTTCCCTCAGTCTGTAAGCTGTCTCTGAGGCTAAACACACCCTTACCTGCATCAGCTGCATGTGAAAGGCTGTTCAGCATTGCAATACTTGTTTTCAGCCCCAGGAGAGCAAGGTTGGATTCCAGAAACTTTGAAAACCAGCATTTACTGATGATGAACCAAATGGGATTTTGCCCATTCTTCAAGGCAAAACTGCTCCAGCTCCTTCAAGTTGGATGGGTTCCGCTGGTGAACAGCAATCTTTAAGTCATTCCACAGATTCTCAATTGGATTGAGGTCTGGGCTTTGACTAGGCCATTCCAAGACATTTAAATGTTTCCCCTTAAACCACTCGAGTGTTGCTTTAGCAGTATGCTTTGGGTCATTGTCCTGCTGGAAGGTGAACCTCCGTCCCAGTCTCAAATCTCTGGAAGACTGAAACAGGTTTCCCTCAAGAATTTCCCTGTATTTAGCGCCATCCATCATTCCTTCAATTCTGACCAGTCTCCCAGTCCTTGCCAATGAAAAACATCCCCACAGCATGATGCTGCCACCACCATGCTTCACTGTGGGGATGGTGTTCTCAGGGTGATGAGAGGTGTTGGGTTTGCGCCAGACATAGTGTTTTCCTTGATGGCCAAAAAGCTCAATTTTAGTCTCATCTGACCAGAGTACCTTCTTCCATATGTTTGGGGAGTCTCCCACATGCCTTTTGGCGAAAACCAAACGTGTTTGCTTATTTTTTTCTTTAAGCAATGGCTTTTTTCTGGCCACTTCCATAAAGCCCTGCTCTGTGGAGTGTACGGCTTAAAGTGGTCCTATGGACAGATACTCCAATTTCCGCTGGAGCTTTGCAGCTCATTCAGGGTTATCTTTGGTCTCTTTGTTGCCTCTCTGATTAATGCCCTCCTTGCCTGGTCCGTGAGTTTTGGTGGGCGGCCCTCTCTTGGCAGGTTTGTTGTGGTGCCATATTATTTCCATAAAAAAAAATGGATTTAATGGTGCTCCAACCCTGATCTGTACTTCTCCACAACTTTGTCCCTGACCTGTTTGGAGAGCTCCTTGGTCTTCATTGTAACGCTTGCTTGGTGGTACCCCTTGCTTAGTGGTGT